TTTCCAGGAAAGTTATACTCATATATTTATAAATATTTTTTAAATTTAGGACTGATTTTCACTGGAATACCAAAAAATGCACATGGCTACCCATATTTAACTGGAGATTGTGGCACCACTGAAAGTGCTTCCCAAAGAAAAAGTGTTCCGGCTTTTTTTTCATCATCAAAACAAAACATTTTTCCTTTTCCCTCCATTTCGGAAATGGCAAGACCATTCTAGATCAAATCATAAAGTACAAAAAGCCACATATCAGCCAACATCACCAACAACCAAAGAATAAAATAAATCTATACATATTATCCTCTACATCTGTTCCCTGGCATGTGTCAATTAATACTAACTATTTAATTTTTTACACAACACTTTCTTGACCAAATTTAGAAGATGATGCAGAAGGTACTCGGAACCCTTATGATCAATTATTCTGAAGTGTCTTGCTCTATCATAGGTCTGTATGTACATTGTGCTAAGTACTAACAAGAATGTACACTCATATATCCCACCAGCAGTTTGCTAACCACAAATGTCTGCAGTTTGCACAGTTCCCAAACATCCACATTCTCTATAGATTCACATACTCCAAGAGCATAAACCATTCTGACAGAAAGGATGGGGAATACATTGTTCAAGAGACCCAGTAAGGCTGCATTCCTGCTCCAAGCAGTCTTCTGAACAATGTAAATACAATGAACATTTAAGTATGCCCATAAAAGAGAAGAAAACTCACCAAACAAATTTGCCTAGAAAATGTTCTCTTTGCTGCAGCCACCCTGATCAGCTGGAAGGGAACTTTTTAAACACAACTACTGAACACTAAGTTTGTCTGGTTGATGGCTTTCTCCTCTGGATTTTGTATCACTCTCTGGTGAACCAAATGCTCACTGCAAGGACGTTTAGTACTGCTAGGTTTGAGGTCATGGTTTAGGGCAGAAGAACAAGGTATGAAAAGTCTACAGGAATCAATATGATCCTTATGTGAGCTGCAGTTAAGGTACACAGAGGGTGAAGCTGGGTCTTATTTCATCTCCCCTCTGCATCACTGCTATCATGGTCAGAGGCTACTCAGCAACTGGATAGGGAATTTGGTGATGGGAAATATTGTTCTTCCTTGCTTTCTCCCAAGATGGTATTCTTGATTTTCCTATCCTTTTTTTCAGTGGTGATGGATTCTCAAGTATAGCACATAGGCCTATGTTTCTGTAGTGTGAAGCATCTTTCACGCTTGGGAGATCTCAACCAACAGCTAATAAGAAGAACAGAATTAATTTTCCTTATAAACCAAGGCTTGTTTATTATTTGTTTAGACGCAAGGATGGGAGATTCTGACTCTTCTTACTGAGAGATTTTTCCTCAACTACTTCTTAAAGTTATAACAGTCTTATTATACTGACTTATTGTTGTACAGATAATCACCACACACTGGAGCACCACTTGTGTAATCATCTAATCATGTAAAAGACAAAATTAATGCAGAAGTTTCCTTAAGAGACTTTTAAAAATGTCGATAGTCTCCATGGAAATACAACAAATACAGACATTTCTTGCAAGTCTACTACTTTAGCGACACTTTTAACATGTGCTAATTATGCACAGTCACCCTTCTATTACATAGTAATACTATTTGATCTCTGGAGAGCTCAGATTGTTATGGACAGCGTTGAAACTTCTTAAATTCTATGAACTATCTGTATGCTGAAATTCATGTTGACAAGAAGGCTGAAACATAGAGCTCCTCTTCCTCTCTTCATTTTAAGAGAGATAACTATTAAAATGCAAACTACATGCAGAGCTATTTGAATTCAGAGAAAAGCAAAGAATTCTATTGTTCAAAATGTTAATAGTTTTGACATGTAGTTGCTGCTCCAGGATAACCTTTGCTTTGTGGAAAGTATTTACTTGGTCATGTTTCCAGTTTCAAAGAACTATCACCCTAGAGCCACATAAGTTTTGACTCAAATGACAAAATTTTTTGTCTACATCCAGAAAATGGCAAAATATCTCTATGTATCTCATATTTAGTCTCCCTTGTGTAACTGGGAGACTCTTTTACAGGAAACTGCTTAACTGTATGGTTTGAAGACGAAACAACAGACTAAATTGCAGCCTGTAAACTAACCTTAGCTTATTGATAAGGACTTAAGGAAAGTATTAAGCTTATTAAAAGATGATTAGATTACAGCCTATATTATGTGAACAGGAAATGAGCAGGTTTTGGCTGAGAATCATTCCTTTAAAAACAACAACAACCCTCAAAACCAACCAACTGAAATAAAATCCCCAACAACCAAAAAAACAGAAAAACACCCATACAAACAAAAAAAGCTAAAATAGACACATTCACCACATGCTGTAAACTGAAATGTCCTGTGGAGATGTGTCTGTCTCCGTCAACGACAGGGGGAATTTAGGCCTAATGAATTGCCTGAGATTACAATGGGTGAATCTGAGGCCTTATTATTTGGGTGGGTTAAGGCACTACAGCAAACAAATTCTGATAGCTGAATATAGAAAATGTGAAACTGGAACAACAGGAAACCTCTAGTTAGGAAACACTAGAGACCAGCGTGTAAAACACATCAGTTTAGATGCAAGAGATTTTGGAAGGGGCAGTTTCTCTGAACACCATAGTCCAGATTAACCACAAACTATTTAACCACATGGTATCTGACTACTGATCTTTACCCATGCTTGTGAGGTTTTGTTTACGCAAGAGTTTCCCGTGACTTGATCTGTGCTGCTTGCAGATGATGGGTTTGTTCAAAACAGGCAGTACTAGTGTAATCTGGCCATATGTGTCTATACTGTAAATATTAAAGTTCCTTTTAGAAATGATATGCATCTTGACAGTCGTAATTCTCAGGGTTAATGGCTTCTTCAACCAAGTGCTTTGGAATGTGGGTTACTCAAACCTCTTCCTAAGTAAACAACGCTGTTAGAGGTTGAGGGCGATGGAGACTCTTCCTTTTCCCACTGCATGTTTTCTGGAGAGGAGCTAATCGCCAAAATTTTAGAATTGCCTTTACCAGAAGCTAGCTCTTGCCCTTCTCAAATTGTGCCTTTTTCTTTGGGCTCCAAAGAATGAAACCATTCACTTTGGCATGTAAAGGTCTATGTGTCGGCTATGCATTTGTTCTTATTATCCTTTAGCCTTGGGATGCTGTAAAAGCAGATACTGACCACCTGCTATTTTGGAAGACCAGACAGAAAAGCTACTAATATCTCCTCTAGGCATGGCACAGCACAGAAGATTCCCTGGCTCCTCCTCGTCAGTGCAGCATTTATTTCTAAGGAAGCAATGTATCAAGTTAATGATTTTTATATCGGTTTCTCATTTCTTGATAGTACAAAACCGGGGAAATTAATTGGAGGAATTTTTTTTAAAGTATTTAAATGTAAAACTCACCTACTGAAGTTAGTCTGACTTATCTGTAGGAAGTGTCACTCCAGACATCCTGCTGGATTGAATAATTCTTTTGCAATAATGCTAGATATTGGGGGTTTTTTAATGTACTAGAAATATTTACCTAGCAAAGGACAACAAAGTTTACAGTGAGGGCTGGTGGTGAGAACAGCTGTGCTACCATGGGGGAAATCTCAGAAAGCAGTTCACGTGTGGAAGGCAGGTCGTTCTGACAGCCTCCCTACAAGTAAGTGTACACAGGGTTTTCAGTCATGCATACTTGTTCTCCTACGTGAAAGACAGATGTAGACCTCCTGCTTCCCACAGTGCTCTACCAAGGTAGAGGAAAAGCCACTAAATTATTGCTCTCTGGAACATCAGGCACCGCCAATCAGTGTATTACGAATTCAACACTGCATTGTAAATTATATAGGATCAATGATACCAAAAGCCTTGTTAGTTTCATTACTCTAAAAGAACCCAGGTGTTTCGGAAAAAGAGAAGAGACACTATCTTAATGGGAAGCTCTAGAAGAGGTAACAGTATCAAAATCCCTCCAAAATTTCAGAAAAGTTTGTGCATGAACCTATGTGATGATGATTTTAATGAATATATGAAACTTAAATTTTTGTAGTTAAGACTACTAAATCCCTCCTTCTGTAAATTAAGACAAGTGTATTTGGCCTCATCTGGTCCAACTTATGTTGATTCCTAAAATAAGAAACAGGGAAGAGACCACAGCACACTGAGAGGTAGACAGGCAAAGGTAGGGAGGACCTAGGATACTTCTAAGATCACAAGAAGACAGGAAGGAAGAATCACACAGGAAGACATTTAAGGATGACATCGCCCACACAAAGTAGGCTTCCAATAAGCCCAGACCGAAATTTTTATTTTAAACTATCAGGATAGAGTGGTAATATTTTCTTCCATTTTAAAAGTGCTAGGGAATTTTCTTATTCCTTCTGATGTAGAACATTTGCTTTTAAGTTGCATGACAAGTTCTCATCACTGTTTTTGCACAGAAAAATTACTCTGCATGCATATTTTAATGAAAATACTCACTTGAAAATGCTGGTCATCATATTTTCAATACATGGGTCTGTCATATTAGAAGGAAGCATACTGTAGGTAACTAAGGTTAATAATAATGCTTCAGAAATTACATTATGCCTCATTCCAATACATGAAAAATAATTATTGTGACAAAGGGATCCTTTTTTAAAAGTAGCCTAACGAATTAAAAAAATGGACACTTACAAGAATCAGAACAATTTCTAGCTTGAAGAAAATAGATATTAAAAAGAATAGCAATATGTATGTTTCGGGCTCTGCTTAATCACAGGAAGGAACCCTGATATACTTTTTTTCCCCTCACTGTAATATATCAGATGGTGAAACTTTGAATTTTTAAACTCTGGCGTTTGTCTATGTTGTCAACTACTCTTGCTAGGTATTGGAGGAGACAGACCATTTTCCTGCTTTGGTAGGTCAATAATTCATGACAGAACTCTACTGGATTCTGCCTCAGGAATGCATGGCAAAACTGCAGGGGTCAAAACACTTTTCACTGTATTTTCTTTAGTAATACATTTACCCAGGACCCACGGTAATATCATCCACTCGACGATAGTTGGTGGCGGTCCCTGCATGCTCAGGTCTGACCTGTCGATGTGCTGAGAGGCAAGCAACAGCAGGAACAGAAAAGTCAAGTAGGATGCAGTATGGCAGATAAATTTGATAAATGGCTTTCTGATGAACAGCCCTAATGGGCTTTTAGGAGCTATCAGGTAGCACACAGAGAAGATTGGAAAAAGGAGTCCTATCACAACACATGTCAACATCTTCACAACCCAGTGTCGCCTCCGCCATCCGGGGAACTCGTCGTACCAGCGGGATGCGAGCAGCTGCTGGCAGTTGGGCTGAGCAACAAACTACGGAGAAAAGAAAGGCAGACAGTTAGTTTTTTGTTACCTCTGTAAAGTTCTTTGCATGCGATGTCAGTTAAGTAATTTTTAGATAGAGATTTTAAAAGAAAAAAAAAACATAGCCTATGCAAGCTCACCCATACTGACAATACCAGTAAGACAGCGCCAGGTCAGCCTGCCTTTCCTTCAACGCAAAAAGTATAGTACAAAGTTATCAGCATTTACTTTTCACAGTAAAGCTTGACTTCCCCATACAAGGAGCCAAAAGACTGCAACACAAGTATTTCCATTATTTAACCAGCAACATCTCTGGAGAATTCACAGAACATGAGGTGAAAGTCAATATGAAACAAACAGCACAACAGCACAACTGAAATGTGTAAGCAGTGAAACTGAATTCCACAGCCGTGAACAAACTCTTCTCAATATGTTCCCTGCTAACTCTCTAAAAATCAGGCTTACATGCTTTAATACTGACAAAACTCTTAAAAATACATGACAAAAGTCTTTCACAATAGGAACTAAGCACTAAGATTCCCCACTGTTTCACTAACCCTTGTCAGGATATACTCCTATCCTGTGCAATATTTTATGCTCTGTCTGATCCTTAAAATTTAATTTCATCAAAACCCTCAAACCCATATTTAATATTTTTCAGATAGCTTTTTATAGAAGCTTTAAGTATATTCAAGGGTTTATGTCATACCTTTCACTGATCACTAGTTCCTGTTTCCCTAATGTTTTCTTTTATAAAGGGGACACAGAGTAACCCTATCCTAGAGTTGACACAAAACGCATAAAATAGAAACAAACAAACATAACCCTCCACAACAAACAATAAAACAACAAAAAAACAAACCAACCAAATAAAACAAACAAATAAGTGGGAAAAAAAAACCAAACAAAAAACCCCCAACAACACAAAAAGAGAAAAGAAAGAAAATAAGCATTTTTCTTCTGTTCCTGTGGTGAGTTGACCCTGCTGGATGCCAGGTGCCCACCAGCACTGCACTATTACTCCACTCCTCAGCTGGGTAGGGGAAGGAGAAAAGATACAAGGAAAGGCTAGTGGATGGAGATAAGGACAGGGAGAGATCACTCACCAGTTACCATCACAGACAAAACAGACTCAGCTTTGGGAAATTAGTTTATTACTCATCAAACCAGAGCAGGATAAACAGAAATAAAAGCAAATCTTAAAAATAGCTTCCTCCTACCCCTCCCTTCTTCCCAGGCTTAACTTCACTTCAGAGTTCTTTATCTCCACCTCTACACTGGTGCAGAGGGATGGGGAATGGGGGCTGAGGTCAGTTCATCACACATTGTCCCTTCTGCTCCTTCCTCCTCAAGGGAAGGAATCCTCACACTCTTCCCCTGCTCCATCGTGGGGTCCCTTCCATGGCAGACAGTGCCTCATGAATGTCTACAACATTAGTCCTTCCCTCTGGCTCCAGTTCTTCATGAGCTGCTCCTGTGTGGGTCCCTTTCCACAGGGTGCAGTCCTTCAGGAACAGACTGCTTCAGCATGGATCCCCCATGGGGTCACATGTTCTACCAGAAAAATTGCTCCAGTGTGGGCTCCTCTCTTCACAGGTCCTGCCAGGAGCCTGCACCAGTGCAGACTTCCCATGGGGTCACAGCCTCCTTTGGTCATCCACCTGCTCCAGTGTGGAGTCCCTTAGGGCCTGCAGGTGAGTATTTGCTCCACCATGGACCTCCATGGGCTGCACGGGGACAGTCTGCCACAAGACGGTCTTCTTCACCACCTGCAGGGGAATCTCTGCTCTGGTGCTTAGAGCACCTCCTTCCCCTCTTTCTCCACTGACCTTGGTGCAGAGTTGTTTTGCTCACATATTCTCACTCCTCTTTTCTCTGTCTGAAGTTGTTCCTGTGCAGTAACTTTCCCCTTCTTAAATCTGCTATATCAAGGTGCTACCATCACCACTGATAGGCTTGGCCTTGGCCAGTGTCAGGTCTTGGAGCCAGCTGGCATCAAACATGAGGGAAGGGAGGAAGCTTCTGGCAGCTTCTTACAGAAGCCACCCCTGTAGCTACCCTCACTACCAAAATCCTGCCACGCAAATGCAATACACTTACACATATATGTGTATTACATACATACATTGGATTAATTATATCATTAGCTGAAGACTTAGTAAAGCTATGCAGAAACTTTTTCTCTCTTATAACAAAATTGTTTATTTACACCAAATAATTTCAGATTTGAACTCTAACCAAATGGACCTAGTTTGGGATTTTATATTATTTTGATAACCACAGGAACCAAGTTCCTTTGGGGATAAATAATAGGTAACTTCTCAAACAGTTTCTAAAATCACTGGGATTACTATTGTTAGAAAATTCTATTTAGTTTGGAATGAAATGAGAGCCAGTATCCATCTTTCTGTATATGTCTGGATCTTGTCAGAATTGATAACCTGAGCCAAATTCAAACCTGTGTCATGCTAGTGTCTTTAGCAGGGACATATTTGCCCAGCTGTCTCTGACTGTTGTGAAAGACAAGAAAATTTACTCATACCGTAAGAATCTTAAAAATAGCCTTACAGAAGAGTAGCGGAGTGTACTATTCCATTGGGAAAAATGCATTCTCAGGGTTTCAGGGTGTTGGTTTCTAGGTAAAAATTTCTGGAATAACACTACATGCAGTGTGAGCAGATGGTTTCAAAGTTATTTTTTAACGGAGGTGTCCCTACAAAATTTTTCTCTCAATTTGCTTGAGTACATACAGATTAGTGCTTTGCTTGACTAGCGAAAAAGTGGGACTTGTGGACTAATTCCTCAGTAAAATATTTTCCTCCTTTTGCCCCAGAGTGTGCCAGCTCCATGTTTGTTTCCTCTTCTTCATAATATCTTCCTATTATGTATCCTCTCACCTAAAAGTAACCAGTTCTTAATTCTTGCCTGTGCCCCCTTTCTCAACACCTTTGGGCCACCCTCACAGTATTTGGGACCCATGTGAAGGAACAGCTTTCAGTGGCTAGCAAAGACTGGTGATAGATATAGGTAACCTACTCCTTATCAAGCACAGCTAAAAGAGAACTAATTTCTCATGCTGTAATGTCGAGAAAACTAAGTGAAAGGAGGGGTTTTTCCAATGTCCACCAAGTACTGGGCTGTCCTAGATCTGGGCAGACCAGAAATGATGCAGAGGTACCTCATGCCATGAGGAGATGCTTGCTGACTGAACCATCTAGAGAGTCCTCTACAGAGGGGTGGGTACTGGGTTGCTTAGTTCTAATCTTTAAACAGATTAATATGCAAAACTGCCAGTGTTAATAGAGAAAGCACTTTTGTGCAGGCTTAAAAAAATGTTCTTTGTCTCCTAATACCAGTGTTGAGACTGTGTTGCTAAGGTACAATGTGTTAAAGACAATGATTGTGCTCTGAGGTACAGGAAGTTTTTCAGTAAATGCAGAAAACTTTCAAATCCCAGAAATCAAAGAGTCAATTTTTTAAATCATAATTTTAAAAGAAATTAAATATGACTGTGACAAGACAGTTCTAGCACTGGTTGGATCCTCTGACTATAGGAGAAAATTTATATAGAGTATACATTCAATATGCCTAGAGTCAGGGGGAGCACAACTGGTAATGTACTTTAAATTATTTACTTGACATAAAATATATAAGAAGCAATTAATGGTATGGAGCAAACATACAGAATACTATGTCAGCATTTTAGGAGCTGCATGCATAGGGAAGCAGTTCTAGTACCGCAGGAAAAGGTCTATAACAAAAAACAAAACATGGTGCCTACATATGATATAATGCATTTCTGAGAGGTCCAAATATCCAGTTTCATGCTCTTATTTTTTATGTAACAACACACTGGCAAGGTTAATTAACAATGTCATGAAGCAACAAAAATATCTGGCTCTTCACTTTTCTTCCTGGTTCTGAGTTTCATTGGCCATATAAGATATGCTATGACACACTACAAAGTATTCTCTGGACAACTGGAAAACTACCCTAAATCTCTTGCTGACACTTCTTTTAAATTATGCTTTTTTGCTTCATTTATCAAGGAATTGTATGATGCTATTAAAAATGTCCAAATTAATTTTCACAAATTTGACTACTTCCTTCATTTTTGTGGTCAAGAGATTGTCACCATATGCTGTGAAACATGTTCAGTAGTGATATCAACATTTACTACATTAGCTAAATAATGAAAGAAGTTTTTGAATGGGGAACAGTTTATGCACCTTGAAGAAAAGTGTACTCAATGGTGAACCCTACAGCCTTGTTCTTCAACCACACAGAGAAGGGGAGCCGGTTACTGCACACTGCATCTCCCTTTTGTCCTTGTGGACCTATTTCCTTCAGAGGAAATGAGGGGAATATGTTGTGAACCTACTGTTTATCTTCATATGTAATAAATTAGTATTTGAGTGCATACAGGAACTGGTGGCAGGGAAGCCTTCCTGGGACTCACAGTGTAAATGCTGGCTGTATAGGCCAGATTAAAACCAGTTCTACATATCAAGTACGTTTATTGGTGATTATTATATTTTATTACTGATCCTGAATTCTTATTACACTTAAACTTTTTATTTATCCACTGAAAAGCCCTCCTCTACAGAAAAAAAAAAAAAAAAGAAAAAAATGTCTTCATGGCAAAATTCTTTGATCAACTGACATTTATACTATAACTACTTTCTATTAAAAAGAAACAGTAAAACTGGGTGGAAAAAATGTATGCTCCAAGCATAAGACAATTCCTGTATAAATGGATGGCATCACATCTAAGATGATCACATATTAAAGCTAAGTGGACATATAAGTCCTCTGCTGAACTAGGAGCTAAAAATTAAAAAAAAAAAAAATTACACAAATATTTTGTGACTAGCAGAAATAGAAATACTCTGTGACATTATTTGCCAGTTCTGCATTGCTATGAAAAAATATTTTCATGGTAGTATAATTTTTCTTCCTTAATTGGAGATATAACATTCTGAGGTATTCCCTTACTATTCTTGAGTATC